TCGCTATCGACTATGTCAAATGCAATAGGATAAAGTTAGATGTTGGTATCTTAACTGTAGTAATAATCAACTTATCTAGATATCTAGCTTTCAAAGTGTACCATGGACTAGAATTAAAGGTCGCATCGCATTTCGAAATCTCAGAATGCATTGTCCAAAAATCATGAATAAAAACTTAAAGCAATTTTCACATTTCGTCTCAATAAAAAATGTCGAACCAAGATTAGTTTTCTCCATGTTATGGCAATACCTGACTAATTTAGCATAACTTGCCCCGGTCGATCCCATTAAATTCTCAAATGTGCATTCTTTGGCTTTTCAAGCCTTCTGGTGGCTCATGATCACTCCGTACTCTCGAAAGACATCGTTAATAATTTCCAAAGGTCTGCAGATTGTCTATGAATCGTGATATTTGTGCATTACATGTCGACCAATAAAACCATGCTCGAGTTTGCTTGTGATCGTTTTGATGAATTTCCACTTCATAAATATGTTTCATGTATACTTGCAAACCATAAAGAACTTATTTGTGTCCATCTTAGTCACTGCAAGCGCCAAAGGCAACTGTCGTCGATACAAACAATCATCAACAATGACTTATTTGATTCCTTTAATTGAACTCGAAGTTGTGTTTTAATGCCATCCAGTGCCAAGTAGTTGCTTGACATGTAAATCCTTATCATTGGGAACCACACGCAAAGAATCAGAGGACTGTCCACTTGATCCAACGCCTGAGCTTCCACCCCGCTCATGTCTATGATTGGATAAAGCAATCAAATCCTCATTTGTAAATTCATTTTCTTTCTCGTTTTCTCGAACTGCTGATAGAATTTTGTGCATAATTATGAGATCACTATACAGAGCAACTGTCTTAGGAATGACCACATCATCCTCACAAGCAATTTCCGCTGTATCCCAAAAATCATTAGCATTATTATCCGTTTCATCTGAATTTTTGTGTTCATCTTTGGCAACATCATTTCTTAATAAAGTCACGTAAAGAGAAGTCAGAATTGTGTGCATTTGGTTCAATTTTAATAGATAATTTACATCAGTATTAGAAGTAACATTTATAAGTAAAATCAGAATGGATGAATGCCTATTGAATAGAAATCTCAGTTTCATATCGTACTGAGAGGGATCGACATTCAGCTTAGTTTGTAAATATGGTACATTCTCGCGTAGGATGTACTCTCTATTATAAAAATTGGGATACCACAACGTATATCACTCGTCCATTTCCATACCTATCAATCATTTTCATCCAATTTGAAATCACTAAAGAAACAAATCGGGATTACAATTATATCTACATAACGAAACAAAAATTTTAATTTTAAGAAAAAATAGTCAAAAATTTGGCTCAATCCAATGGGTAAAATTTATTTTAAAAGAATGAAATACAGCAGGCTCTTCTGGTTGTTTACCATCAATTGTTACGGCCAGTTGTTATGTCCGGTCGGTCTCAACGTATAGATAATTTTTTTTCCTTGTTCATGCTTAAAAAATTATAGATCTATTAAAAAAAACTTCTACATTAATATCTATGCCGAAATAAGATGTATCGATTAAAACTATACTATCTAACAAAAACGAAATTAAACATACGTAAATATACTTATCGTATCGAAGTATTAATATAAAAAAAATGTTTCCTTGTTCAGCTTCAATAAATTTATGATATTTTAATGTTGAAGCAAATGAGAGATGGGAGAAATATTATCTGTGTTGGAATAAACAATTAATAAAAGTTATCTGATTTTGAAGTTTTAAGTGTTAAGTATTTGATTTTCACTTGTTAACTATAATGGTAGTATTGTCAAAACAAAATTTTGTAATTGCATAACATATTTAAGGGCATATTTGTCTTTTAACAATCAAGAGACCATTTTGAAAATATTCATTTGTTCAATAGTCAAAGTGAAATTGGATAGTTTGACCAAGCCAATTTTAAAAGTGCCCCTCAGATTGGTAGCATAATAATAATTATTAAATTGAAATAATTATTATGCTCTTATATACGTCTCATGCACGTGTTCTTTGGTCTATGCATGCGGAATATATATATTTATAATTATTATTAAATACTATTTACGTTTTTAACTTGATTAGTAACTTTATATTCTTGTATAAATTTCAAATTTATAATATATCATGTTGGCTCTTGAAGAAGTATGACTCTGTAAATATTAGTATTTTTGTTATAAAATGTACTCCTGAAGAGTTAATATTTTTAAATAATAGTTTTTTTTTTTTGCTACTGAAATAGCACGATATTATTAATATTCCAGAATAATATTACTCATGGATTTGCCTATTAAAAATATTGTTGTTCCTCAAATATCACAGTATTATTTATATATATTTTATTTAAATTTTACTTGCTTGTGAAGAGCGTAAATTATAATTTCAATATTTTAAAAAATATTGATTTATTGCTCTTGAAGAAGCAATAATAAAAAATAGTATGTTCTCGAACTAGCACACATCTCAAATAATATATGTCTCATTGCATTCCTTAAAAATCATAAATCAAACAACTCAATATTGGATTGTAATTTTTAAAGGAAATTAAATTTCTATATTATTAATATTTAAGAAGAATATTAATTTATCACTCTTGATTAGTATGAATGATTAGTATGAATTATAATTCAATATTCTAGAAAAATATTGATATATTGTACTTTAAAAAACAATAATAAAATACAAACTACTCCCAAAGTAGCACATATTTCGAAAAATATATCATTTGAATTCGTGTTTTTTCTTAAAGGAAAACATATAAACATGTCATATTGATATTGATTATTTCTTCAAAATTAAATAATTGAATTATATCTTATAATGAACCATAAGTTCAATTTGACTTTTATTGTTCGGTATGACCAGTTATACCATCACTTGATCAATAATAATGTAAAATTAAAAATTCAAATTGATACTCAATGAAAAGCGAGAATATTCTTCAATCCAGTGAAATCCTATATAATATTTATTCTCTTTCGTATAAAAATTTATTAATCATCACTAACTAAAATAGGGATTGAATTCCAAATATTTTTGAAAAAAATTAATTAGGATGATAAATGGGGCTCCATCATCCTCCAGTTGACCATCTAAATATTATTTGTATCTAATAGATTTGAACAAATACTAAATAATTGCATGGCGTTCACAACTTGAAATTTGCAAAATTTAACTCAAATTATGAGCATAATTTTCAGATTATACAGAAAGATGGTTTTTCTTGTTAATGTTAGTGAATCTACATCCTAAACTTTTGAATGGTTTTAACACAATTAATTGTTAAGTGTCCTCGTTTGATATTTTTAACTATTACTATTGAAAATAACGTACTTCCTTTTTCTTTTTCTTTTTTGTTACTACGCATCATGTCAATATCATAGTTCTCTCGATTATAACTTGGCTTATGATCATGACCTAATTTTTTTATCTAATTATTTTGATAGTGCGGTATATGTAAAATTGATCAACCACAATGCATTACGATGGAAAATAACGAATGTTAAGAATAAATGCGTTGTTTGAACCTTTATCCCAAATAGGTGATATTTTATAACGCTGAAAAAATGAATGTCAATTTGATTGGACAATGCTTCCAACATTAGGGGAATGAATTAAGAAGTTGGAAATAATGTAGAAATGTATCATTATCTAAATCCTAGTAAATGATAATTTGAACTAGATGTTCGAAAGATTATTATTTAGATGCATTTATTGATCAAAGATATCAATAATATCTCCATCATCTTTAAATGTTCCTACTCTAATTAATGTCCTAGAGGATAATCAATTAATATGATATTTGATAGTACACTTGAAGCACGATAATAATCGATTATAATATAAAAGTTGCCAAATGAAAATAGAGCAATTAACAAAGATAGTCTCATTAAGGAGACATACTTTTCATAAGTATTTAGATATAACAAATTATAAAACCCGAGAATATGTTGAAGATTAAGATACTCAATAGGTTTATGTCATTATGGAGAAATAAATATAATCGAAAAGAAAAACTGTCGATAACACTTTTGTACGTGATTTACTACATCATATTATGAATAGCAAGGATATCGAAATGAATTTGTCATTGATCGAAGTAATGATTGGCCAAATAAAATGGCAGGATCCTAGTAACGAATTTATTAGAGAAATCTAAAGTTTTTGAACCTGCAGTCCGAACATCTAAAAGTATATACTTGTGCGAAAAAAAAATGAAGCTGCAATATATAATGTACGACTCTTAACATAGTGAATTTCGTAAAGATCGTTGTGGATAAAATTACGAGTCCATATCATGATATCTTGACAATGCATGAAATTAGAAATACATGATAGTCAAATCATCTAAAGACTATTAATGTTATCCCTGGAGGATTTAATATGCTTGAAATGTAATTCAACTGATATTACCACACTACACCAAAAATGGTCATTTGCAACACATAAATGAAAATATTCGATAGTTAAGTGTTGCTAAATAGATCTATTGCAACATTTTAATAAGTGAATGTTGCAATTAGTTAATGTAATTGAGTTTTGACAATATTTTTAAAATAAATATTGCCAATGTTTCTTTCGCAACTTTTTTGAACATGATGAAAAGTTTTATTCTTTTACAATATTTTCTGAACGTTGCAAAAAGTCTAATTTTGCAAAGTTTAAAAAATATTTCAAAATACCTTATTTTGCAACGTTTTTGAGCATTGCAAAAAGTATTCTTTTGCAACGATCAAAAAACATTGCAAACAGCCTAACTTTTTGCAACTTTTTCCATATTTTGCTACTTTTTTTAGTGTTGCAAAATATAATTTTTTGCAATATTCAAAAAACGTTGTCAAAAGTCTAAAATTGGGTTACTAATCCATTGGTAAATAATATTCCCCTTTAAAAATTTTAATCCCCTCTTAAAATTTCACTACAATCCAAAATTTTCATTTTTCCTCTCTCAAACAATTGCCCACTTTATACACCACAAATTGAACCCCTAACCTCACATGCGCACTGCCTCCATCACACCCTCCATCTCTCTTGCTAAAACTCATCCATTCTCTTTCTTTGGCCCAATAAAGGAAATAATTTCTCACTTTTACATACCTATTTTTTTGAACTATAGCCACAATAGCTTGGAGGCGTCAAATGCTATATTTCGGGCACTGCGAATTCCAAGCTTTCTGCTATTCTGGTCTTTGATGATCTGGTACGTATTTTCTTAAATATTTGATTGTGGGTATTTTAAAGTTTCTATCTTGTGTTGATTTATTGTTCCTTCTGTAGAGTTTTTATATTATTTTTCATTTTTTACTAAATACAAGTGGTATAAATTATTTATATTTTTGAATGTGTGTGTCAGTTCTAGGTTCCATTTGGTAGAGTTTCATTTGGCCTAGGTTTGTGTATAATAAAATGGTTTATTATCACAACAAGATTTCATTTTTGTTGCATATTTCAATTGGGTTTTCTTATTTAAGTGTTGTTTGTTTGCAGGCTAAATGAAAAATAATACACTCGTAATTATAATTTCACAGCCTAGTAGGAAAGGTTTTGTTTATTTTCATTATTATGGGATTTTGGTGTTGCAAAGCTTGTATCTTTACTGCTGAATATAGTATTAATGATTTTTAAGGCATCTTAACTTCTATTCATGTTCTGTTTTTTCTTGGGCTTAGAAGTTAACAAACATTTTTTTTAGATGCCAAGCTAGTTGCTTTCAAGCTACTCATCTTGCATATGCGACTTGAATATTGTCATGCCTCTAGCAAAATTGTTTTTCTTATTTAAAATCATTTCACACTTTTTTTTTTCATTTACTTATCTTCCTTTAAATAAAGAAACCGATTGAAGGTGATCCAAGTATTTGAGAACTGAAGCGAGGATGATGATTAGCATTACGTGAAGCAAGTTCCTTTCTATATTTTATTTATTACGAGAGCAAAAACAATTCTCTCTTTTTGTGGCTCAAATTAAAGAAGCCTCCCTTCTATTCAAGAGCTAAATCTACTCCCGGAAAGTTTGATTATGTTTGTTTAAAAGATGGATCTTAATCTCTTCACCCTAAGGGAAGCTGTACTTAATTAGAATATAGTTTTCACACAGTCTTTTGGCTAATTTTCAGAAACTAAAAGGGGATATAGGTTTACTGTAAGAGGCGGGGGTGGATATTATAGAAATAAATATTTACTTTTATTTTTACATTCTTATTTTTCTCATTTGGTTTGATCTATGCAGGATATGAAGCTCCTAACTTGAGGTACTTAATCTCTATTTTCTTCTTAATTTAGGATAAGATTTTACTCCTATGTACTTGTTATTATAGAACTTATTCATTTTACAGATGTTTCTACCCTGTTCTAGGCGTATGGTTGATATCCTTGTGTACCTAACTTGCTAGATTCCTACATGACCATGTCAAATTAATGTAAAGCCATATAATGTTGAGATTCTAACTTCCTAGCTTCTTGAGCTGGGATTTGATAGTGGTCGTAGGATCTTTAATGGAATCAGAGGTGGTTTTAATAGGCTTGGTTTTGTTCTTAGCAGAATCAGAAGGAAGTTTAATAAGCTTGGATCGGTTCTTGATTGAAGCAATATTGGATTTAATGAGCTTGGTTTGGTTCTTGGATAAAATTGCATTAGATTTAATAACCTTGGCTGTATTTTTTGAGGAAGTCGTCTTCTTCTACCTGTAACATTGATTTTCTATGAAAACTTTTTGGTATTCTTGTTCTCACGCTCTCCCCATTTTCGGAAAATTGGATTCAATATTAACCAGCTGTGATCTCTGTAATATTTTTGTTGTAAGCTCAAAATTCAAACAGATTGCTGTTGGGGAATTATTTAATGGGGAATTTTACTAGACATTCCCTATTCCTTTTTTCTTTTGTAGAAAGCATTACGTGATAACTTCTTTGAACATAAAACTATACTCATTTCTAAGGTTTTGAAGTGGTCATTTTGGACAATGGGATCCTGCACACACAGAAACATTTGTTCATTCAAGTTTTCTGGTTATTTGTGATGAGTTATGAATGATTTCCTGGTATCTATCTTTATCTTCTTTTTTCGTAGGCCAGGACCGATACTAAAGGCACAGCTTGTATCAAAGATTGCTGAGAAGAAAATTAAAGAGGCTGATGCGGGTAATTTTACTAATTACTTAGTTTGTGGTTTTTTATTTTTTTTATTATTATTATTATTTTGTATTGGATTTTTAGGTGTTTTGGAATTTTGGATCTGGATTTTGTACGAATATTGTTACATTTTGGAGTTCAATTAATAATGATTATTGAAGTTATTTGATATAGTTATCTTCTATTATATTTTGTGGTTGATATATGTAAATCACTGTACAAATAAAAAAATGAAAATTTTGCCAAAAAATGTAAAATAACCTACAGCAACATTTGAAAAAAGTTACAAAAAATAAGGAAAAATCATAGATAACGCTCAAAAAAGCGCTGTTAAAAAGTTATTTATAACTTAAAACGTTGCATAAAGTTATTCACAACATGAAGAAAATGTTGTGAAAAAGATATTCACAACAAATAAAAATGTTGCAAAAAGGTTATTCGCAACACGAAAAAACACTACAAAAAGGTTATTCACAAGGCGTAAAAAAGTGGCAAAAAGGTTTTTCGCAATGCGAAAAAAATGCTGCAAAAAAAAGCTTTCTGCAACAAAAAAAAAAATATTGCCGTATCCTTCACTCTATGGAAACAGCGAGGTTTGCATCGATTTTTTGCAACTTTTTTTGCAAAAGGCAATTTTTGTTATAGTGTCAAGAGGGACTAAATACATGTTGTACTTTTTCCCCCTGGACCAAAGTTTTGTTCAATAGGATTTTCCTGGCAAAGTTTTTAATGAGACAACTTTTATAACGTACTAAAAATAATAATGTACTCTTTTTCTTTAATTAAGATTTTCTCCCATGGTTTTTCGTAATAAATTTTTAATAAGGCATTTTTTATATAATGATGTCCTTAAACTAAAAGACATTTATCCTCAACCTAAAAGACATTTATCCTCAAAATAATACTTTGATATAAAAAAGACTCTTGAAGAAATCAACAAGAGTTATTTTTCAAATCATCATGGTACTACAATCATCAAAGGTTAATAAAATACCTCTTATGAAAACGATATTATTTGAAGACCGTACAAGATAATATGAGACATACTTCACCAAAAATTGCAATATTGAAGATATTGACATAAAAAACATGGATTAATTGATACAATAATTTTCACTTATTGAGAAGTTACACTCTTTTTCCTTCGATCAAGTTTTGTCCCACCGAATTTTATTGACAAGGTTTTAACGATGCATCATTTTATTACTCTAAAATATTTTTTCCTTTTTTTTTTTTTCATTTGTTGGCATTTTTGTCCTATCGAATTTTTGGCCAAACAATATTTCAATGGTATAGTTATTATACAAATAACCTCCAATATCATCATTTTAGCCATGTTCTTTCACTCGTTTAATCACCAATGTGTTTCAAGTCAGGGCTTTGCCTTAAAAAAAATCTAAGAAAATTCAATACAACACGACTCCAAATTATTCGAAACGTCACAAAATGATCTCATTAAAAAGTCAAGAAAAGTGTATAAATTATAGTTATCTTTCGATCCACTATGTTTATACTTGTGGGGATTCAATATTCTTTCCTTCTAAACTTATGTTAAATCGTTGCAATCTATCTTGTTTGGTACCCATTTTTTCAAAATGCAGTTTTCTCTCTTATTTTTAATCACACATTCTTTATTAAAATAATTATACACATAAATAAAAAATTTCTCCTTATTTTTCAACCACATATTTTCCATCAATTTACTATTCAAAAATGTATTTTTACATAAAAATGTCTCCCAAACACCCTCTAAATTTATTCGCTCTTTAAAAAATTCCAACCTTGATGTAATTGATGCATGGCTGTGGAGTTCAAAAATGATGGTGATGATGTTTGGATGGAAAGAGTAAAGAAAATAATTACAAATATTTAGATTTCATTGTAAAGGACATTGTTTTCGTATTTTAAAATTTTAAGCGTCATTTTAATTCATAGAGTTGGATAGATGTTGAGACTGGAATATTGTTGACTTCGTGTATTATTCTATTGATTTCATATGTTAAGCATGTGTTATTTATATTTAGAATGATCAGAGGTGTGCAACGTGATAAGGCTTGTTCTGATTATTGACCAATGAACCAAATACATCTTGGTCTTCGGACCTTGCCCATGACTAATGGGTTAGCTAGCTCGTGAGATTTTTCTTATTTTTCTAAGACAATTCAAAAAAAAAATTTGCAGGAAAAAAATGACTATACAAGATAAAAAGAATAGTAAATTAAATGTAATTACTAATTAAAAAGAAAATAAGGAAAAGGCAGCCATACGAGCCGGTTCACGAAGTCCACAAGTTTTTACTTACCAAGCTCGTCTCCCCTCATGGGCTCATTGTGGAACAAGTCTAGGTATTCATTACTCTCTCTCTCTCTCTCTCTCTCTCTCTCTCTCTCTCTCTCTATATATATATATATATATATATATATATATATATATAGCACCGATGAAGCTAAACACCAGTGAAATGGCACACCAATTTGACGAATAATTAAATTCACAGAACCCGCCATTAACTTATTTTTCAATTAATAATGTGACATATCATCGGTGCATAATATAAGTTAAGCATCACTGCTTAGGAGATCATATATATATATATATATCTGTGTGTGTGTGAAAAATTTAAATATAAAATAGAATAGAAGTTTAACATAATTAAATAAGGAAAATAGAGTAGGCTCACAAAACCCATGAATTTTATTTATCGAGTTCAACTCAGCCCATAGGCTTTTGGTGAGTTAATAATTCAAATGGTCACTAAACTTTACAAAAAGTTTTTATGGAGTCACTGAACTTTAAAAATCATTCAAGTTATCCTTGAATTTTGTAAAAGGTTTTCAGGAGATCACTACACTTTACAAAAAATTTTCAAAGAGTCACTGAATTTTGTAAAAACTTTCACAGGGATTCGATGACCCTACGAAAGTTTTTGTAAAGTTCACCGACTCCGTGAAAGCATTTTGAAAAGTTCAGTGTGATTTTTGAAATTCAATAACCTTATATAAATCTTTTGCAAAGTGTAGTGATAACTTGGGTGATTTTTAAAGTTTAGTGATCTGGTAAAAACTTTTTGTAAAGTTCAACGACCATTTGGATTATTAACCCACTTCTAGTGGAGCGAGCGAATCCGCTCACTGGTTGAGCTCTCTCGAGCTGGCATGAGCCCATTACCATCATTATTTTTGAACATTTTACCCAATATTAAATAGTTTTATGTGATTTATTGTTTTATTAAATAAGCATAATATTATTTACAATATATTATGTCCCTATTTGCTTTAGTTATAAAATTGAATTAAAATTTAAATTGAAGTGAATAATTAATTTTAATTGTATATTTCGTGGGACCCACAAAATTTTCTACCACACATTCTTTCAACTTTTATTAAAATCTATTAAAATTCTGACTTTTATATAAAACAAACTTGAGCCGTATATTTTAAACTACGTCATCATTTAACAATGTCTTTGTTGCTTTGAAAATATTTTATCTAAAAGAGACCTTTACATCTACAAGTGGCTAAAAACTAGTTTATGAAATTCAATCTCAAATTAAACATTAACCAAAAAAGTAATAATACAAGCTTTAAAGCTTTTATAATTTTGTTTCAAAACACAGGCCGAGTAACTCACAATATAATTGAAACAATTTTTACATTATAAGCAAATTTCTGAAACATCTTGTATAATAATAAACAACATTCCCCACTCTAAGTTTCTACTAATATTGCATAAGTAATTAAAATATTAAAGGCACGTTTGTCATCCATTTTCTCCCATATTAAAACAATTTTTACATTATAACTAATATTGCATATATTAAGCCCTTGTTTATTATCCATTTTCTCCCATCTTTTCCCATTATTTTTTCTACAGTACTCATTTTCAACCACACATTTTCATTAAAATAATATTATACGTAAATAAAAAAATTCCTTCTTTTTTAACCACACATTTTAACATCAATCACTATTCCATAATACATTCTTCCCAAATAATGGGTGACAAACACACCCTAAACACTTTTCCATTTGCATAACTTGTTGAAGAGAAAAATGAATGGCGCTCTGTAGTTAGGACCGTGCTTCTCGTACACAAGCGTTTACACGCCCATGTACACGGTCTCACCCGACCCCTCACATCAGGGGCAGGACCCAGACGTGGGCCCCGCTGTGGGACCTCGCCCATGTGAGGGGGCGAGGTGGGCCCGTGGGCACGAGCATGTAATCGCCCATGTACAAAGAGTTTTATCCATGTAGTTATCTAATTGTAATACCTTCATGACGTCAATCACATCTTGTACATTGAGAGTAATGTGACTCACTTCAATAAACTCTTTAGTTGCTTGCAGGGTGACGTGACGTGCGAACATGGCCATGCACTCTCCGATGCTCTTCGTTGTTCCATCAGTTATATTCACGTTCGTGGGTTGAACACTTTTCATGATGCCAACCATGATAGCTAGTGGCATGATGTCAAGTTCACAACTGATTTTGATTGAGGAACCATTTGAATTGTATTCATGTGACCCTGGAATGATATCAAAAAAATGTCTTGAATAAGACGTTCAATGTAGCTATATTCAAATCAAAACATAAGTCTCCGTTTATTTCTCATTTTTGGAAGAATGAGAATGAAAAATATAGTCGTTATGAGCCCCACATAAGAAATAGAAATTCAAATTTGATGATTTGATGTGATGGATAACGGTCATATTTTTCATTTTAATGAGAAAGGAATAAGAACCAAACAGGAGTTAAATATCGTATTAAACCTTAAACATGCAAATGAAAAAGTGACTGCAGAACTAGAGATGTTTGATTATGGAAGTATCAATTAGAACCTATTAACATAAATTAAAACCTAAACCTCGAAGATGCAAATGAAAAAAAATAGTCCACATTAGGGACAATGAAATGCGGCGAAAAGAATTTACATAGATCTATTTTAAATTAAAAATATGTTTAATTATTATATTCAATTATCACAATAATAATCCTAATTGTAGTAGCAATCAGCAAAAAAAATGTTGCATGCAGTATATTTGAATCATGCTACACTTATACAATAGGAAATCTGTGAAAGATTTCCTTCTACATTGGGCATTATCCAGTATATTTTATGAGAAAATATTTTAAATAAATGCCTTTTTCCAATTATGTAACATGCAAG